TCTCATAGGCACCAAGTATTTGGATATTTTGTCCCTAGTTGGTGGCGCTGTTTTGGGAGGTCTCAGAAGGTGTGTCCTTGCTGGAGGAAGCATGTCACTGGGGGTAGGCTTAAAGAGTTATTAAGCTTTGCTGGATTTCCAGTCACGCTCTGCTTCCTGTGCCTGCTTCAAGATGTGATCCTGCTTAGCTTTCTGCTCCTGCTCCAGCAACCCAACCATGCCTCCCCACCATGATGGACTCTAATCCCTCTGGAACTTGGAACCATAAGCTGAAATAAACTCTTCTTCCTATAAGTTCCCTTGGTCATAGTGTTTTATCACAGCAACAGAAAAGTAACTAATACAATGACCATAAGAAACAGAGTCTTATAGGTTCCTAGGAACTTGCTCCTTTGAACTTACAGCAATGGTGGCAGCATGAACAAGACCCATGGAAACTTAAACAGATAAAAACCAGCATAGAACTGGGGAAATGAGCAGAAAGCCCCAACCTTAGGTGAGGAACTACTGGCAGCTGATCATTGCTTGGTGATGGTGAGTTGATTTTTTTTTTTTTTTACTTTTTGGTCTTTTTTGAGACAGGGTCTCCCTGTAGCCCCAGCTGGCCTGGAACTCACTATGTAAACAGGCTGACCTTGAATTCACAGACATCTGCCTGCCTCTGCCTCTAGAGTACTGGGACTAAAGGCATGTACCACCATGCCCGGCAAGAGTTAATTTTTTTTTTTTTTAAGGAGTGATGCTAGATAGGCTGAACAGGCTCCAGTGGATGTATTCACACCAAGAGACAGCTGGGTACACAAACTTGACTCCATAGGCTTTAGCATAGAAGACGGAATGAATGAAATCCTGTGGTCAGGCTATTGGAGTGCAGATGGGGAGGTCTAAATATGACTTAAATGTATTATATGAAATCCACAAAATGCAACATAGAAAAAAAAATAAAGATTTGTTCAAACACAGAGAGAGAGAGCACGCAAGCACGCGAGAACTGTTTTTCCTATATAGTACAGACATTAGGCATGGAATGATATTAATAATAGTGATAAAACCTAATAGTGCATTGTAAAGGGACACCATCAGCTTCCCTAATTCTGAGGCCTCTGGTCTGGACCTGAACCATTACCAGCAACACAGGGTCTCCAGCTTACAGTGACCTGCACAGGTCAATTCCCCTAATAAATCTACTCCCATCTTTCCATCTTCCTTTCTACACATCCTACTGGTTCTGCCTCTCTGGAGCACCCAGACTAGTACATGGCATGACAGGCATCCATGGCACTGTGGTACCAGACAGAATAGCTTCAGGCTGTAAAATCCCCTGGGCTTCACTTATTTATCCCTCTCCCCTGTGAACTTCTGGCAACCACTGGCCTTTGTACTGTCTCTGTGGCTTTGCCTTTTGGAGAGTCACACATGCATAGTCTTTTTGGGATTGGCTTCTTTAACATAGTAATATGTACTTGGTTCCTCTATCTTCTTGACTCTGTAGTGCATTCATTTTTAGTGCTGAGTAGTATTCTGTTGTATGGATTCACTACAGCTACCAGAAGATAACTCAGTTGCTTTCAAGTTCTGGAATTATGAAAAGCTAGTATAAAAACTCAGGTATCTCTCAACTCTCAGCAGAGAAGCTTTCTTATGCAGCAGATGGTGTTTAACACAGAGAACCACAAATGGTCAACATGCAGAGTAAAAGACTACAGACTGTTTATCCCTGAATAGGACACCTATACCAAACTTCTGACTCCCAAGGCTCAGGGATCATTGCAGAAGAGCAGGTGGAGAAAGATTGTAAGAGCCTGAGGTGGTGGATGACCACAAGGAAACAAGAGTTTTCCAGACAGCTGATCAGGTCACTCATATGAACTCATAGCAACGGTGACAGCATGCACATGTCCCCCTAAGCTCAAGTCAGACAAAATCCCAGCATAGATACGGAGAAATGGGTAAGAAACCCTAATGCTACTTGAGGAACTATTGACAACCAATGGCTGATGGTAAGGGGAGATTCAGTCTTCATTTAAGGCTGAGACTCTTGGTAGGTTGACCAGGCTCCAGTGGATGAGCCCACACTGGAGAACAACTGGAGACACAAATTTGACTCTATAGGCCTTAATACTCTCTCTCTCT